TAGTGATACCCAAGATCCTCAATTAAGCCCTTTTTATTGGTGTGTAGCAAAACTCAGTGCTTTTTATAATGGATAGTTTTCTATCTGCCTTTTAGGCTGTAGCAAGGAAGAAACGGAGGTAAAGTTCTTAAAGCTGGATAGCCTTGTTTTAACCAGATTGCTGTCAGAGGGTGTAAGTCTGTCTTTGCATTATAAGAAAATTGAAGTACATTGCTAGGGTTTAAGGTTCCATTAATAATTAAATCAAATGATAATTGTCATTCTTCCTTTTGTGGACTGTCCTTAATATACAAAAGATAGAATAATTTTGAGGCTAAATCCATCAGTATATTGGGATCTTTTAAGTGATTGTCACTTGTCTTTACTTACTTCAGCTTTTTATATTGGCATGAGAAAAATAAATATTTAATACCCTTGTGAAATGTGCTAAAACATTTTATTTTAGGTTTTCATGAAGTTAAAGGATTGGGAGTGGGAAGAGATTAAAATTAGTGTCTCGGAATACAGATGAAATCTGTTGCATGAAGGCGACTTGTGTTATTTTATTGCTATATATACATCACATTAGCAAAATAACTGATATTAATAACCAGAATTGCTTCTTTTTTTTATTTCAGAGAAAGGAATTTTTTTATTATACCAGCATCTCACTTAAGATGCTTAGAAACAAGATTATAACCATTTTTATCAAACAAACAAAAAGCCCCAAAACCTGTGATTGATGCTTTGGATGATAACTCGAATTTACAAAGGAATGGCAAGAGGAAGTCATAGGACAGCTGCTGTTGAGTAGGCACTAAGCCCTACAGTTCACCTTCTGGTTCCTTGCACCAAAAGCACTTCTCAATGCTATAGTGTCTTCTTAACCTGCCCATCATCCCAACTTTGCTTTCATTCTCTTTCAGTTCAAAAAGCTGTAAATGTCAAATTTATTTTACTGTTCTAATTTGTCCTTAAACTGTCCTTGTGAGCAAATAGTCAATATTGGATATTAGAAGGGCATTTAGCACACTGAAGGCTCCAAATGAAAGTAAAGATGTTTGGGCTGGGAGATGTTTTTGCAGCATGCCTGTTCATGAGCAAATGCAGTGCACTCTTCATTCTTTAGTCTTCTTTCCATAATCTATACATTACTGAGCCTTGGTTTGGTAGTGTCTCTGAAATTAGCATCTCTTTTCATGACTCGTGATAGAAGCGGGGAGGTTGTCATTCTCATATTAATCATGCATCTAAAGAGAATGAATGTGCCAGGAGAGAAATGCCAAGTTTCCATTGCACAACTGTATCATTCATTTTACCAGTCTTTTCCATTAACTGGCCTTAGCTGATCTGCCAAAACCACAAAACACTTGGTTTTTGTGTCCTTAATAATAATTGATATGTGAGGGAAAGGAAAAGGCAGGCACAGTAGCTATCAGTGTTCCTGCAGCTGGAGAATGTATCTTCCCCTCATCCCCTTCCTTGAAAGCCAGCTATTTTCTGTTTCAGCCTCCCCTTTAAATTAATAACCTGTCAGACCTCTGCATCTGACTTGCTTATTCTGAATTGTCCTGGGGTAAATGTTTAACTGTTAAAGAGAAATTTAGTTTTTGGCTTAGTGTAGTCCCACAAATCAGGTGCTCTGGAGCTGCAGAGGGATGGCAATGCTCAAAATCTCTTTTCTAATTTGGAAGTTACTCTGATCATTTCAGATCTAAAGGATAAAGACATTTATTTAGTTAAGGTGTTATTATCTAGCTTGGGCTATCCATGTGCAATAACTAATAGCTCAAAGGGAAGTTCAAAGCCCAGCCCATGGGGAGGAACAGCCCCACCACAAGCAGGGGCAGCCCTCAAATGACTTGGCAAAAAAGGAACTGGGTCTCCTGGTGGGCACCAAGTTAAACATGAGCCAGCCATATCCCCTTGCTGCAGAGAAAGCAAGTGGGCTGCAGCAGGAGGAATATTGCCTGCAGATTCAGGGGGGTGATCCCTCTCCTATGTGCAGCATCAGAGGCCTCACCTGGAGTCCCTGTCTGGGCTCCCCAGGAAAAGAGAGACATGGACATACCAGAGAGAGTCCAGCAAAGGGTGAGGAAGATTAAAGGGCTGATGAGAAAAGGCTGAGAAAGCTGGAACTGTTCAGCCTACAGGAGGCTCAAGGGCAAACTTCTCAATGTATGCAAATACCTGAAGGGAAAGTGCAAAGGAGACAGAGCCAGGCTCTTTTCAGTGGTGCCCAGTGTGAGGACCAGAGCCAATAGGCACAAACTGATGCACATCAGGAAACACTTTTTCACTGTGAGGGTGGGTGACCAAGTGTTGACACAACAAGAGAGGTTGTGGAGTCTGCATCCTTGGAGATGCACAAAAGCCTCTGGGAGATGGTTCTGGTCTAGGTGACTCAGCTTGAGCAGAGGAGTTTGACCAGATGAACCTCATCTGGTGCTTTCCTACCTCACCAGTGCTGTGATTCTGTAATAAGCAGCACTGCTGCTAGGAAAGCTGGAATAATGTAGGCTTTGCTTTTTTTTTTTTTTTTAATGAGGGGTAGAAAACCTAGGATTAATGTGTAGTAGAAGTGGTTTACGAGCTAGGCAAGTTTGGTGATAATTTAGAGTTTAAACATATTTATAAGATGAGTAAGTGTCAATAGCTTATTGCGAAGAGAACAATGGTTCAGCTTCACAGAAAACCAAGTAACTCATTTGCCTCTGTACCTCTATCATCTTCAGAAAAAATCCTGAAGCAAGAAGATGTGCAACCCCTCCTAAATGACTTTGAATACAAGTATAGGTGGAACACAGGCCTGTACTGCCAAATTATTGCATTTCTGTGTTCTGTTGTGTATTTTGCTGCCAGAAGCTGCTGTTTTCCTCGTAGTACCTACAGTGTACTATTCCCTCCAAGATTAACGGGTGCTACCTGTGTGGGGAAACTTAATTTGTAGCATGACAACAAAAACAAGTTTTTGTGAACTGTAGATCTGTAGAAGACCTCTTGAGAACTAGAAAATTAACTATGCTTTGTGAGTTTGTGGGTATTTTAGATAATTTTATAACCTAAATATAATAATTTTATTTTATTATATTTTCAACCCAATAATTTCTATTTTGAAATTTGGCTCTGAGGGAAATGGATCAAGAGTGGGGGAGAGACACTTCTTACTGGTAGCATACATTGCATTAGCAGCAGCAGCTGTATTGCTCCCTGCTTCTCTATTATGCAGGCTGGTAGTGCTCAGACTGTAACATCATGGTCACAAATATGCTTAGAAATATTGGTAAAGTAATGTAGCATGACAGAATCTATTTATTTTCCTGCTGTACACATGAATGTTGCTTTATAAGCAACCTTTATCATATGTAGTACATCTGTTTACTTAATAAAAAAAACCCTGGGATATATTATAGGTACCAGTGTCTTCAGAGGAAAAGCCCTTGGCCTTGAGAATGATAGCTTGAAGAAGGGTACTTCATGTGGAGATGTCTGTGTTAGCCCTGAACTTCAGTGTCTTGATGAAGTGTTTCAGGCATGTCTGAAAGAACATTCAGTTGTGTCAGTTGAATCTCTGTAAACACAGACCATTGGTAGGGAATGGTGCTGTGTTTGATTAGATACTCTATGATGATGCCACTGTCATCTCTATTTAGAGGTATTTTATTAGTGTATTTTGGGAATTAATATATTAATGTAATTGCTGTAATTGCTATGAGCTAGCATAGAACAGAAAGCAAATTGGAACTTCTGCAGGGAGAAGAATTAAAATGGATAAAGATTTATGTTATGCAGAATTAAGCTGCTGTCACTAGGAATCACTGAGACTTTTAGTTCAGATTGTCAATAAGGCCACACCTTCCTGTGTACATTTTAGGCTGACTTTAAGAATAAAAGTTGTAACTCCTTACTTCAGCAACTTCTAATATGTCTCATTTTTGGAAGGACAAGAGGTCTGTGCTACAGACTTGTGATAATTTTTTTTATTATCTGTATTTTTAAAAAATAGCATGTTGGCATTGACTTCCTTACTTAATACCTCTTTTTTGGAATTTTACTATTTAACATGAGTCATTTCAGGAAGGTTGAGTGAATATCAAGATAAGATTTTTGGCTTTCTGTTGGTTATATAAAACTGCAGTTGGGGGGGCACTGTTGAAAAGAAAGTCAAGGCTGAGTTTGGCCTAATGTAATTCAAAATGAGAATATCTGGCTCGCTACAAAGGAGCTGTAGCTCTATGTAGTTTGATGCTGGGGTTTCTTAAACACTTCAGGTATATCAAATGAACCTGGACATAAACTAGTATTGGTCATTTGTGTAAATCAGTTTACCTAATACAAGTAAAGCAAAATATTTGGATTAATCTTTGGAAAGAAGCTGAAATAATTTTCTGTTGTGTTTTCACCATACTGGGAAACAGAATTAGATATGCTGTGAACATAAATGTCATAATTGTTTGGCAGAAGAGTGTAGTTATTTGCAAAAGCACCAAAATTACTTGAGTGTGTTTAAAACTTCAGCATAGTAGAGTTAAGAGATTTTTCTGAGCTCTAAACTATGTAAAAGTAATTTGTACTTGCTCAAAGCCTACTTGTATCTCCTGTATCACCACTGAGTTTCTGATACTTTATTGCTGGTGTATATGTCATCTTAGGTGATTTGTTAGGGACATGGATTGGATGTGTATCCATGACACCAATTTTCCAAAAATAATTTGTTTGCAGTACTGTGTGTGTTTTTAAACAATATCAATAATATTTTTGTCCTTTCAATAACAGAGTTCCTTAAAAAGATGAGTTGCAGCTATGATTTAAGTATTTGTTTTTCTTCACAGGATGCTTACACAGAACATATTTTTTTCAAATCTGTGGCTCTGTATTTAGTATTAATAAAAATATCTGTATTTGTGCTGAAATGTTTGATACTCAAAAAAGGGCATTATCTTTATACCAAACTTCCCTGAGCACTTGTCTTTTTGATAAAGGTTTTTTAGAGAGAGTGTTTATTTTCTTGTTTTTTGTAGCAAATTCTGAAATCGAGGTCTCTGTGTCTGCAAGAAATGTGAGAAGGTTGCTTAGTTTCCAGCGATACCTGAGATCTTCCCGTTTTTTCCGTGGTATCACTGTTCCAAATTCTTCAAACATTTTAGATGATGATTATAATGGACAAGCAAAGGTTGGTTGCTTGATTTTTTTTATTTTTTTAAAGTATGTTTTTCTAAATGCTTGCTGGTATATATAACTATATCACATATTAAAAGGGCAACCAAACACCAATTTTAAGCATATTTTTTGTGTATGTATTTTTATGTGTTAATATATATATATATATGTATATATTGTAATGAAATTGAGACAAAATTTCATGGTCAGTAGCAAACTCCTCTACTGCCCACAAATTTACTTGGATGATTTTTATGTTGCTAGTGTTTTTGTTGTTGTTTTGTTTTGTTGTTTTTTTGGGTTTTTTTTAATAACTGGTGAATTAAGGATGCCCTTGAATAATTGAAGAAAAAATGAAGAGAGGAAAATGTATCTGTACTTAAGAAATGTAATGGAGCAATTTAGACAACTGTTCCCTTTGATTTTTAGTCCAACCTCACTAGTGAACAACTGGAAGAGTGACTGCCTGAATTCAATAAAGTACAGTAAATGGATTTCTCAGGACCTGCTTATGTCAAACTGACTTTTTCTTTGGTAGGCACTTCTAGAGAAGAAATGTGATAGCTGAAATACACTTGTTCAGCACTAAAGCAGGGAAAGCAGATACTGGGAAGAGAGTTGGTGCTAAGGGAGCAGCTACCTGGATGAAAGGCTGCTGTATTTGCCACAGAGGATGGAAAGTGCTGAAGGGGATTGAACAGGCAAAGGTTATTCAGGTTATTCAGTATCTCAAAGGCTGTGTCACTGCATGCAGTGCTTTTTTGTCATCTGACACAGAAAAACAATATACCAATATACTTACAATACAATGGCTGTGTCCATGCTGAATATCATCAGGCTGTGGTGTACAAAAATATTGGAGAACCCGGAGAATGGATCTTAAAAATGTACATGCAATTTAATAATAAAAATATACTGTTAATGCTTTTGTTTCTTCTGATAGCAGAGTTTTAGCAGCTGGTAGAGAAAAGCTAGAACCAATAATTAAGTCACAAAACAGCTCTACCAAATTAATGAGAATAGGAGAAGGCAGGACTCTGTTGTAAAATGTGCTGGACAGGTATTTCTCATACTGGTAAGGGAGGCAAAGATTGGGACTGCTCAACTCTGGTGAGGCCTCTTGCACTGTTTGCTGTTCTTGGTCATTCCTGTTGTGGGAAGAGCAGTTTATGTGGAACAGATGTGATAAAGATGTGCTAGTTGAGTGGGGTGAAAAGTCAAAAGCCAGGTTCTTAAATTAAAATGCTTATACAATGGCTCAAATATCTTGTGAATCACAAAGATACTGTTCTGTAAGCAGGGGAAAAAAGGAAAAGGTAAACAACCACACAGAGATTAATTTGCTAGTCTGAATGCAGAGTCATTCTGCCATACTATTTCTGATTTGAGCCTAATTGTTTTTAATTGTCTTTTGAGAAATTGACTGAAGGTTGAAAGGAGGATCTCCAACCAGTTCTGCCAAGGCACTTATTGTTTGGTTATTTCCCTCCAGTCTTTTTATTTGTAAATGTGTGGTGTTGTTCAGTTACCAGACAAATTTAATTATTCTTTTACTACTATTTTTTATGTAGAAATTCTAAAGACTTGATCTGTCTCTGAAATCTTAAATACTCCTCCGAGCTACAGGAAGATAGACATATACTGATTAAAAAATGACAGCTTTTGTGTTTCTTTTCAGTGTATGCTGGAGAAGGTTGGAAATTGGAATTTTGATATTTTTCTTTTTGATAGACTGACAAATGGTGAGTTTACTTTTGGTATTTCATTTGTGCTTTATCTTCTTGCATAACTTAACTATGGCACTTATGTTGCAGTGTTGTTTGTGATTGTTTGTTTGCTAAAAAGTGCAAATTTCATCAGGTACTACTTACCAATTTAATAGTTTTTAATCTGAGTCCTAGTTTGCCTGGCCACTCCATTAAAATAATGATACTGTCAATACTGATACTAATAATTGGTTTTTAGAAGAGGCCCTTTATGTACTTTATAGGTTGCTGTTCTCTCTTAGTAATTTAAAGCAGTAATTTGAATACAAATTGACAAATTTTATGATCTTTGACTTCTTTTTTTCAATTATGAGGTGCTGGTAATTTTTATGGTTCTGTCCAAAAGGTCATTTATATTGACCAACTATTTTTCTGATAAATGTATTGTTAGATAGAATAGTTCTATTACTTTGTAGTGCTGTAAGAGGCATGTTGGTGTTAATCCATTATAATTATGACATAGAATACCTGGAGAATTGGGAGTTGAGCAGAGGGAGGCTGCTGTACACATCGCTTGCACAACATAGAAAAAGGAAGAGACCATTTTGGTGACTTTTGTGTACCCATTACAAATAGCAGTAGGAACTACAGGAATAGTTGGTTAAAAAAACCAAAACCCAAGTATTGTTCATTTTTAGGCAGAAAAGAGATCTGTAAATGTGCTGGGAAGGAGGAGGGAGGGAGGGCTGCTACACTGGGCAGGGTGAAGTTTTGCGTTATAATCTCAGCAAGGGCAGCTGGGTTTTGAGCAGAATGGAAGGAGGAGATGAGCAAGTCCAATATCACAGTGACATTTGTGCCAGTGTGGGAAGACAATGGAGGGCAGCTCTTGCAGATTTTGCAGCAGTCATGTGGAGTAGGTAGCAAAGTTGCAATTAAAGTTGCCAGAAAAAGAAATTAAGTTCAAAAAGGAGAATGTGGCACCAAAAGATCTTTTTCTCCTCTGTTTCATTGAAGGGGTGCTTGGCTTAATCAAGTGTAAAAGTAGTAACCTCACAGTTATATTTAATACAGAAGTTGGATAGAAACAAATGAAAATAGCAAGGACTTGTAAAAATAGAATCCTTATATCGATAATGATAAACTTTATATAACTGAATAAAAAAAAGCTATGTGTACAAGTTAACATGTAAGCATAGCTTCTTTAGATTAGTTTATCAAATGAGAGAAGTCTGAAGTCATACTTCTCATAAGAGCCCTCTCTACCTTTTAGATGTGCTTTTTTCAAATACATTTAAAGTACTACCAGAAGAGCTTCTATTGTGGAAGCCTTACAATACCACCATCCATTTTGCATCCTAATTAAATCATTTTGATCAGGCAGGCTTGTTCTTGAAAGTTTGTAAGGGCAGAATGCTCTATATAAAACTCTGCTGGATTGGCTGCCCTGGATGAAACTCTGTGGAGGAATTTCCCCAGTAAATGTTGTTCCAAGAATTGCGTATTTATTTCATTGTGAAGATGTGACATGAGAATACATTAATTCTAGTCTAGTAATAAACTTTATTTAGAAGAAATTGTTGTGTCCTTGTACCTCAGTTTCTGTCTGTGCTAGTTTTTGTAGTGCTAAATGAAGGTTCTCAGCCATGACGTTGTTTGCAGAGCAAATAATGGACAAGCTATTAAAAAATAAACATTGTGGTCTGTGTCTCTTATGGTTTTACTTATTTTACCACTGCAAAAGATTGTAATAAAGCTATGAGTAGACAACATATATTATGAGCTTGTAAGAGTATACATTTTTTGTAGAGTTCCAGGTAAAATAAGAAGTCCAGCAAAATACATGATGAAAATGAGAGAGAGCATATTTGCAATGTCCTCTAATCAATAGTGTTGTCTAGCTTTTCTCTTTGCCTGATTACATTTGTATTTTGTATATGTGTTTGTGATATGTTGCATAAATATAATTATAAAATGGAATATAATTATAATAGATTTGCATGTTGAAACAGGTTTTTTAATGTTCAGTAACATTTTCTTCCTATCAGTTGCCATTGGACAGTTGGTGAATGCTTTAGAATTAAGCAAAACCACTGGTTACTAGAGACAGCTAATGGAAACTTGTCATGTAGTAAGATTTAATATTTATGAATTGGTGTAGAATATCATGACTTGGTGTAAAAAAGTTCGCTTGTATAATTTTTGTGACCAATTTGTTTGACAGAATACATTTCTTGTGGAAGAGTCACTGATTTCATGGCTTCCAATGAATTAGTATTTTCATCTTATTTTTAGGAAACAGTCTAGTCAGCTTAACCTTTCATCTGTTTAATCTACATGGACTAATTGAACACTTCCAATTAGATACGATGAAACTTCGTAGATTTTTGGGTAAATACGGCTTTTTATTTTGATGAATATTGCTGTTTATCTGCATTTTTATACCTTAACTGAAGTCCTGGTTGTAGTTTAGCAATAAGGTTTGAAGGGTACCGATGCAATCTACATTGTGCAGTGATTTAAATTATATTAATTAAGACGATCTCTCAAAGTTTTTATGAGTATACAATTTTCTGTGTTAAATCCAAATAAGTATTAAGAAGTTTAATAGTTTCATAGCTGATGCTGTATTCTATTTATTAAATCTATTTAGTATCTATTAAACAATCAGGAATATATGTGTCATTGTGTGACATTTGTATTGGGAAAGGCTAGACAGCTCCTTTCTTTGTTCTGATTTTTAGTTCTATATTGATCTTTACTTTTTCCAATGATACAGTGTCCTAACTGTATGGAATATGTCAGAAATGTGTTTTGGTGCCAGTTTGGTGTTACCCCTGCTTGCTCAAATTCTCCTACAAGTAAGCATTGCACTGTGGACATAGTTTCTCCCTGGACAGAGTACAGGACAATTTTAATTTAATGTCTGGGCCTGTGTCACTGGAATGCTTCTTTGAAAATAATTGTAAATGCAATGTAGAATATTCAAACCAAGTGCTACATTCACTTGACAGAGCTGTCTGCATCCCAACACATAGACAGGTGCTGGTATGAGACCTCCTTCCTTTGGTTCTTCTGTGACAGTATCTTTAATTTTGTGAACTGGGATGATTTTTTTAACTGACCAGGAGAAACAAGTTTCTGGTCCCTTTCAGCAGTTTTTCACAGTTTCAGAGAAAAGCAATTCTGTGGTTACAAAGTTTGTCACTTAACAGGGGAGCAATCACATTTGGAAGTCTTTTAATGTTTTTGTTTTCACAACTTAGTTCTGGAAGACTAGGACAGCTCAAATGCTCCAGTGCTACACAAAATTCACATTATATGAGAATCTATTGGAATCTTTTTAAACAGAGAAATCTTGATTTTAGTCCTCTATAGGATCTTAACTCTTTCTTTTTTTTTTTTTTTTTTTTTTTTTGTGTATGTGTATATATACATACACACACACACACACAGAGTCTTTCAGTGATTTCCATGATCTGCTTGGAGATCTGCATCTTCTTACTGTGTCTTTACAGGTTCTTATTCCAGACCTAAACCAGGGGAGAAAAAATGCAAAGTACTGCATTCCTGAAAACAGGGTGGTTGTGCTACTCTGATTCTGGCAAACTGTGATCAAAGTGTTGACCTAGATCTGCTTTAATAAAATAAGTAAGTTAGGAAAATTGTAAAGTTCAGGTAGCTGGATCAGCCTATGAAGCCATAATAAAATTAAAAAGGAAAGCCAGGGATATATGCATTCATGCACTTGATGTGAGGAATAGGTGGGAGAGAGTTCTACTGCAAGTTAATAAAGCCTAAAGCCATTTATATTGATTTTCATTATTTTTCATATGAGCTGTCACCTATCCATTGAGTACTATTGAGATGACATGGTGGTGACAGTATTTTGACTTTTCATGAACCTCAGATCTCACAAGCACCATGTCAGTAATGCTGTAACATTACATTCACACTTACATGGATCCTCTGGCCTTGTAAATTGAGTGGAAAAGAAGCTTGTGGGCATGCTTGTTTGGTGGGACTGACAGACTGTAGTCAGACAGGAAAATGTTCTTTTGAGGTTTGCTTGGAAGAACTAATGTGTAGTTCTTCCAAGCAAACCTCAAGACTTTAGAGATAGTAGGCAAGACTTTAGAATATAGTTTGATTGCTGTGCTCCTTCCCTTCAATCCTTTTTAACATTATAGTTTTTTCATTCCCTGTACTTGAGCTAATGTTGATGCCCTTCAAAAAATTCTGCCTGTAATGTTCCAGGACAGTCAGGAAGATGGAGGAAAGAGGAGGAAAGCAAAGAAGTTAAATAGGGAATATTGAATCTAGGTGTAGTTAGTCAGACCAGCATCTAAATGAGATTATTTTCTAAATTGCATATGGGCTTACATTTGCCTGAGTAGCAAGTATGAGAAAATGCCTAGAATACATATAGAAGTGGTTTTCCATGACCACTTTCCTGAATGGGAAAGAAAAACACTTCATATGATGAGTTTTTCAAATTCAAATGATAATTTTCATTTTGTATTCAGTATTAACTCACCATTCAGACAGATTGTCAAAGACAGCTTCCCTAGGAAGTTCTCAAAGTCAGAGTATCTCAGATTATATATTGATTTCAAGTTGTTTAATTTTTGCTCTGAGGTGACTTTACATGTAGTTGATTTCCTTTAGCAAACACTGTTTCTGTGCATAAAAATCTTACAGCTGCATCATGGTTCAGCTGTTGATTTATTGACTCTGATGCTTTTATTGTATGTAACTTGTGATACTGCATATTAATGTGCCTAATAGGGGCATATAAAATGGTCCTTGAAAAAATTGCAATTTTATTTAAATTTGGATATTTGTTTTTTTCCTGCAGTTATGGTTCAAGAAGATTATCACAGTCAAAATCCTTATCATAATGCAGTTCATGCTGCTGATGTGACTCAGGCCATGCACTGTTACTTAAAAGAGCCCAAGGTAAGGAGCATTGTCACTTTTACATCACTCATACACAAAGAAATATGTGTTTGTGTGTATATGCATATGAATGGATTGTGTGCACATATCACAGAATCATTTAGGTTGGAAAAAACTTCTGAGATGGAGTCCAACCTGTGACCAAACACCACCTTGTCTACTGGACCATGGCACTGAGTGCCACATCCACCTAAACACCTTGATTTAAACACCTCCAGGGACGGTGACTCCAGCACTGTGGACAGCCCATACCAATCTCTAATCACCCTTTCAGTGAAGAAATTGTTCCTAATGTCCAGCCTAAACCTCCCCTGGCACAACTTTAGACTGTGTTCTCTATGCTGTCACTGGTTACCTGGGAGAAGCAGCCAAGCCTCCCTGGCTACAGCCTCTTTTCAGGCAGGTGTAGAGAGCAGTAAGGTCATTGATCTTACATAAACCTACATGCATATATCTATGTGTATATGCACATGCAGGTTTTATCAAAAGTAAAGAAACCTAAGAACCTAACAAGAAACACTTCTGAACTCTCCCTTGCCTACCCTGTTGCTGAGGCTGTGGATTCACAGTTAGTGTGCTTTTCTTTTTTCTCCCCTTCTGAGCTGACATTGTCTCTTGTGTGACTTCCTGCTGAACTAGAGCAAGGAATTAAAGTTGCAGCTATTTAATATAGTGCTGTGCCCCAAGACATTTATGTAGAATTGGAGCCTGAGTCAGAGCTGGCAACAATAAACCTGTGTGCTTGTCATCTGGGGTGGTTTTCTTCTTCCATAAACTATCATTACCCTTGCTTTGCTCATCTTTGCTGTTACTGAACAGTTCACTTCTACAAGATGCAGTTCATAGCAATACATTAGGAGTTCTCTTTGGCTTTCTTTTTAAGAAAGGGTAGAGTGGCAGACCTTAAGGAGCTGAACTAATTTAGTGGTTGTTCCTCTACTACTTAGATTGCTATCAGGCTGCTTCAAGTGATGTCTTGAACAGTTTCAGGGCAAAGTCCTGTCCTTCTGTATTAAATTGAAAGCTGTAGTGCTCTGTAGCTAGATGAAAAGTTACCTACCTTGTTGTAGATTATCACCAATCTGGTATTCCCTTGAATAGCTCCTTATTTTGCTTCTGAGGTAAAAACAAGTAAATTTTGGCTCCAGAAAACCTTTTTCAGAGGCTCTTTGCCCACTCCTCCCACTCAGTTTCTCAGTGCTGCTCTCAGACCAATTGGTGCAGTGAGCCTGATTAGAGCTGGTACATGATGAGCTTTTTTATGGCATTCAGTTTGGAAGCTCTGAGCATTTTTTATTTAATACTCGTGATGGAAGTTTTGTAAAGCTTCAGATACAAGAATAGGCTTGGTATTTTTAGTAACATGTGCAGCTACAGTTCAGTGTACTGAACTACAGCTCTGTTGCACTAAAGTACATAATAAACATGTGAGGTGTGATAGATGGCAAAAGCAACGGGGAACATAAACTTCTGTCCTTGCAGGGTGTCTGCTGCAGTTCACCTTTATATGGGCAGAACTGTCCTCTCTGTTTTAGTGCAAACTAGACTTTGTTACTGAGTTTAAACTCTCAAACCTCTCTACCACAAGAAGGAACACCTATGAACAGTGACAGTAAGTCCATGTAGATGCATGCTGAGTTAATTGACATGCTCTTTGAAAATATTTATTTGTGGCAGATTTTTCTCCTTTAGTTCTGGTCCTGGTAGACCTTGAAATACAATTTTGCATAAGAGTAGAAATACATTCTAAATAGTTCCAAGTCTTCCAGAGCATTAGTTTCTTCCTCTTAGGAGGAAAGGTTTTCATGCTTTTTAAAATTTAGTATGAATTTAAAGCAGAATAGACACAAATGGACTTGGTGAATGAGAGGGAGAGCTAATTTTAAGAATTTGCTGCTTTTATGGGGTCTGGTTAGGAATCAAGCTTCATTACCAGACACAAAGGATTTTGTGTGCTGGCATTTTTTATGAGTGGACTTTGCCATTCAGAAAGAATAATGCTTAAACCATTGTTGAAATTTTGTAGCTTTTGGGGGGAAAATACTGTGAAAAGTCAGTGGAATGTTAGTTTTACATCTTCAAGATTTTCTCCAATTTTCTATTGGCTGTTAATTACTGAAAACATTCATGCACTTTTTCTAAGGCCTTATTGCATTACTAACATTTGTTGGGTTTGTCTTGCAGCTTTCTGAGTCTTTAACTCCATGGGATGTCCTGCTTAGTTTAATAGCAGCTGCCACACATGATTTGGATCACCCAGGCGTTAACCAACCTTTCCTAATTAAAACAAATCATTATTTAGCGACTTTATATAAGGTAAGGATAAAATCAGTTGTTTTGTTAAAAACAGGTTTGGAGAGGAGTATAGAAAAGGAGTATAAATTGTGATGTGTTTAGCTAGTGGTAGGATGGATTGCAGACAGTGTTTCCATGGCACTGGGATAAAAAATTGTGCAAATTAAGTATTCAGGATTTGTGGGTTTTAACCTCTGGGAAAAACAAAAAAGAAGAGAAGAAAATAAAACACGAACCCCAAAACACAGCCAAATTGTATATAGCTCTTCAGCCTAAGAAAAGGGCATTTACTGATATGTGTTATTCCCTTTTAATTCACAGAATACCTCAGTATTAGAGAACCATCACTGGAGATCGGCAGTGGGGTTGCTGAGAGAATCTGGTTTATTTGCACATATGTCATTAGAAAACAGGTATGTTTATACCACATAGTATAGATTAGTTTCAGATAGAAGCAATCTGTCAGCTAAGACAGCCCTGCAAAACAAGATAAGTTATTGCACAGCAGTTTTGAGTACAAAATATAGAGATCTATTTTAAGAATTCCTGGATACTGTGCTGGTAGAGTAGAGCAGTTCATGGTGCAACGTGATACTCAGAAAATAACATGTATTGCAAGCACATTGAAGGAGTGTATTCATGTAGTCAAGCACCTGTTCAGACTAAACTTGGCAGTCTTTTCTCGTTCTGCCACCACAACTGTAGTTTAAAATAGACCATCTTCACCTACTCTTGACAAGAAATAATCTTGAGACAATCAGTTCGTGCATTTTTAAGGGAAAAAAAAAAAAAAGGAGGGGGAGGAAAAAAGCTAAAAACTGTTTTAGTCTTTCTGAAAGCTGCCAATGAAATATTCTGATATTTCTGTGAATGTTGCAGGAATTTTTCAGGAAAAGAAAACAAACAATTCAGTGAAAAGGCTTATTATAAAGCTTGTATTTCTATAATAATAAATATGATAAAATGCCGTGTAGATCTAGTGATGACTGTTGTTCTTAAATGATATGCTTTTGAATGTTTGTTATTTCAGGCAGCTGATGGAGAGCCAGATAGGTGATCTCATTCTTGCCACAGACATCAGCCAACAAAACGAGTACCTGTCCATGTTCCGATCCCATTTGGATAGAGGAGATCTATGTTTGGAGAACGCAAACCATCGTCACTTCATCTTACAGGTAAACTTCCTGCTCGTATTTTTGAAAACAGCATTTTAGTGGAAAAACTAATTTGCTTTAAGATACTAAATACTGCTTCTGCCAGGCCTTCTCCTCTTTCAAAATGGAGCAGAAGTGTCTTTTAGTCTTTCTGTTCCATTACAAAGAGGTTGTTCACTTTAGTTCCCACAGCCAGCACTTCTCCCAAGTGCTGGTGTGTGTTGGTACGTCTGATAACTTGGAGCTGCTGAATCAAGGTGTTTCCAAGACAAGGTTTAGCTCTTCTAACAACTCCATTGCAGCCTCAGAACTGTGAAATGCTTTGTCAGAACATATTTTGGAGAAGGAAAACACTGCTGTTGGGAATCAGTTTGCAGTTGTGCTAGTGAGCTTTAACAAACATTAAAAACAAAAGCCTTGAGAATCTTCTTAGGTTTGTAGGCATTTTCTTACTAGGTTCATATTGTGGGCTATAAGAGAAAGTGGACAAACAGATGAGAAGTTCTGTCTTGTGCAAACTATTGCTAAAAATACATGCATGAGAGCCAGAAATGGAAACCACGGCTTGCTTGCTTTGATGCTTCTTTTTCTGTAGTTATTTTTGGTTCCTGTACCAGTGAGTATACTAAATATAGTGGTCCTGAAATACTTTGAGTTGACTGAATTTCCATATTACTCAGGGATGATCATGAGATCTCACAATTCCCTGAGTGTTTTTTAAATATTACAGAACATAACTTTGGAGCAGAAGTGGTAGGTAGGCTTGCTATTCACAAAACCTAAAATAATCTGCTCTCAAGAGTTAAGTAATTACAGGCACTTGAGTTGAAGAAAAGATGATCTAACACTGTGTGTTAACTTGTTAGATGGCTTTGAAGTGTGCAGATATTTGTAACCCCTGTCGGACATGGGAGCTGAGCAAGCAGTGGAGTGAGAAAGTAACGGAGGAGTTCTTCCATCAAGGCAAGTAAGAGTAGAAGTATCTGTTAGTATATCATGTATTCAGTGTGGAGAGAGTGTCCATGAGCCCTAGTCCATTTATATTTTGCACTAACAGAGATGTACAGTATAGGAGTTTTTTACTTCCATGGGTTGTGTCTCCTGCAAAAGGTCAGAGTTACTAAAACTCAGCAGAGAATCTGCTTAGAATCTGAACCTAGAATGGCTGATAAAATACATCCTTCAGCTGAAAGGTGCTGCAGATTAATAATTATGGCCACTTTAAAATTGCCCTAGTGGTTTCAGCAAATTATGGAATATGTTCATCATGTGTCTTCAATATTTAAGCTTCAGCTGTGAGGCCTGTTGGTAAGCAGGTAAGAGCCAGGGAGATTTTTAGTTACTGTGCAGTTTAGACTACTTCTGTAAGGAGTTAATAAAGCCTTTCATTGGCAAATGGAGTGAATTTGCTCCATTGTTATTAAATTGTTTTATAATAAAATTAAGGGTAGTTTGGTGGACTTGAGACCTGCTAATTTGCACATGAATATGGTAAATGGGGAACAGACTGCTTTATTTGGTGCTAATCATGTGAGACGTAATCTTAGATAAAGGTGATGGGGAAGCAGAAACACAAATTGCCTTTAGCGAGAAATTTCTGAAAGCTAAGCTATCCTCTTCCATATTGCTGAGGGGGGATTAATTTGTCGTTTCTATGACAGTGTAGGTTTTGCAGGAAAGAGGATGGTAATCCTTCAGGAAACTTGTGGTTCTATGGGGTTTCTGTAATTACTGTTTGATGAAAAATACCAAGTATTTAAATACAGTAGTTGTAAGTATTGTTAGTCTGACAGATCTGCTTGGTTTTTTGGGAGTTGGGAAGAGAACTAAATGCATTCCACCAGCTGTAGGGTAGTATCCTTGTTAGCCAACACTCACAGTTCACTTCTGTTAGTGTTTGATTTGGTTGGGGCTTGATGATTTAATCGTTGCATTATGCTTTTGTTTCTTTAGGTGATATCGAAAAAAAATATCACTTGGGTGTGAGTCCACTTTGTGACCGACAGACAGAAACTATTGCCAACATCCAGATTGGTAACTGCAATTCAGTTCATTTTAGTAGATTTCTTTCAGCATGCAATTTGAAAAAAAGCACCTTTTGGATACATTTCCTAGAAGCTGAACATACTCTGTGTATGGCAGCACTTCATTATAAACAGCAATTTTATTTTTATTTGCTACATAACCTCTCTTGGATTGTTTATGAATGGCGCTGCCCTGACAGTCCTGGAGCCCCTCTGTTTCCTCACAGAGCAGGTTCAGTGTGGGAGGCAGCTGTCTGACTTCTCCACACTGCTGCCCAGAACTTTCCTCATCTGAAGGGTGTTTTGGGAAGAGGAGGGTCCCTTGCCCTTGCCATATAGTCTTGGGTGCCTTTTGCAGTGAGCTTGTGACAACTGGGCATGCTGGGTTTAGCTTTTTGGAATGTCAACATTCCCTTTAAATACAGCCTTTAAGGAGGGTGGTGGGCAGAGATGTGATGGAGAATGGTGGATAGCCATTATATTAATAGTTTTTGCTAACCTTGGATTTAAATAGTAAAATGTCTTTTTATAGTTAATTTTAATAAAAGTTGATTATGGAGGTAAAGTGGGACTCAGTTAAAAACATAGTAAAAGAAAAGAACAAATTTAACAACAAGCACAGAATGAATTAATGCTTTAGATTTACACAAAAGCTGATGTGTTCAATCAGCTGCACTGTTTAATTTAGAGTGCTAGGAAATAATATCTTTTTTAATTAAAAGATTCAGTTTTGGCTATCTTACCATTGATTTTTTTGCGTCATGTAAATAGACATTACAAATAAATGAACATGTGCATACACACAAAGTACATCAATGTATTGTTTTGTGGCCTTGTTTAAAAAGTTTCTAAAGGTAGTATTTTAAATTATTTTTAGTCACCCCAGGATTGTGAAAACAATATATTCTTTTTCCCCTGTGTAGTATAATTCCGACACACTGAAGGGCAATTAATTATAAAATCTTTTAGAACTTTAGGTTTCCTAAATTGTCTTAGTTGCTGATGTTTAGATTTCTCTCCCCCTCCATATTGTTCAGTATTTGTCTTCATTTGGTCATTGCTGTGAAAGGAAGAGGGTGATTTGTAATGCAGTGTATTGATGTTCTTCTGATTAGTAAAATCTTTTACATTTTGAGAGATTTTTTGTAAAGATGCCCAAAATATCTACATGAATATTTAAATGCACATTGGAAGATAGTAGTTTAACACATTTATTGTTTGCTACTAAATGCTATTTAAAGTACTTAGTTTGAGTATTTTACTTTTTCTCTGTATTTTTTTTAATTTAATCTGCCTGTTTGCTTGTTTCTGAAGGTTTTATGACTTACTTAGTGGAACCACTGTTTGGGGAATGGGCCCGGTTTTCCAACACGAGGCTGTCTCAGACAATGCTTGGCCACCTGGGACTGAACAAGGCAAGCTGGAAGGGAGTGCAGAGGGAACAGTCGGGCAGCGGTGACGATGTTGACCCCACTTTTGAGGAAATGGACTCAGACATTTTACCTCAGGAACCTCGATTGTCCTGACCTCAATCTCCATGACAAAACTGCCTCTTCCCTCGGTATCCACACGGTTGGATTCAAGGAGACACATGCCAGCCCAAGGTTTTGGTAGAATGGTAAAATGATGCCAGCATTATTTATTTCCAAGTTTTCCTTTGACACAGACCATTTGACCCAGAATTTTTTTAAGCCACCAGACCTGAACATAGAGCAATATGCACCCGCCTCAGTTGGTTGTCGTTCGGAACCTCGAATATGCAAAGCACAGCAGCGACCGAGCCTCGGAGCAACGGGACGGAAGCGTCGCCGTGCCCCCTGGCTTCGGTTTTCTCATGATATTTGGAATACGGTCTTCAAATCTAAGACTTGACATGGATTGTTCCACTCCCTTGGAATTTAGCAAGACTTGCATAAATGTGTTCAAAGCATACCTTCCACTCAGTCCCTGTTTTAATACGGAAATGTGAAGTGCCCATCCTCTGCTGCCTCTGGCAAGACTCGATGTTTACAAATGTACTCTGAAACTGTCGGTTCTAGACTTAACCTTTGCGCATGGCTGTGAAGGAACCACTAACTTGGGTTTTTTGCTTTTTTAAAAGAAAAAGATCAAATTTGAGACTGCAGCTCTTGTTTCTTTGGATGCCAGAAAAGCCTCCCATTTGCCATAATTTTGTTTGTGCACTGGGAACTGAGCATTCATCATAGAGCACAGCCAAGCTTTACTCCAGTGCTGTATGGGAATGCAATTTTTTAACAGCGAAAAAACACTTCTGAATCTGGGAAGGGAAGGGGTGGGGGGGAAGCGTCCGAACTGCATTGCGATTCTGCAGTGGGAACATTGCATGTTGTTCTCACTATTGTACACTTGAACTGCACATGCAAGAAAAAGGTGGAATGTCTAAACACCATAATCAGCTCAGGGTATTTGCCAATCTGAAATAAAGTGGGATGGGAAGCGTGTCCTTCAGAACAAGGGTACAAATGCCCCTTTCGCTGCAGCGTGTGTGTATGTGTGGGTGTGTGAGTACGTTTGGGACGGGGGAGGGCGGGAGGGCTCGGGGAAGGGTTTGAACGGCAACATTTTTTCTTTCTTTTTTTTTTTTTTTTTTAATTTATTCTTTTAGAATGTGACAATTTCATGAACAGCCACACTGGGGAGGAAACTGTAACAAATTGCTACAGATGCCTTAAACTATGCACAAAGCTAAGTGACCAAATTTGTTTTTGATTTGAAAAAAAATAATAAAAAAAAGTGCATTGTTTACGTATTCCTCCCTCTACTGAAACATTACCCACTGATGGATTTTTGATGGGAAAAGGAGAAAATGTTTTTTAGGACAAAATTAAGGACTAATTTTAAACTTTAAAACATTCCATTTTTGTAATTTGTTTTACATTGTTTTAAGTACAGTAAGCACAACTGTAATCTAGTTTGAGAAACTGGTGCTTTCTTTTAGTTCATTTGTATTTCCCTGTTATTATTGTAAAAGACTGTTTATTAATTCTGTTTACAGTTTGTTGCAACAGCCATTTTTGGAAGAGAGCTTCAGCGTAAAGCCATTTGTAAAGGCTTTGCCATATTCATTTTAATATGTGCCTGTTGCTGTTAACTTTTAATTAATAAAACAAAATCTTTTCACATTATGCTCCTGTACATTTAAGTTATGACTGAGTCCAGCGTTGTGGAAAGGTAGCTAAGGTTGCAGTCAGCTTCCACTGTAAAACTAAGCCAACTTTTGGATTTGAAAATACTAGTCCTCATATGCCAAAATTTATTGCCTCTTGGAGCTTGGCCTTTTACTGTTTGAAAAGCAAATCCTGACTTACCTGATTGTTTCCCTTCTAAAACTGTTTATTATTCTTTCATGTTCCCTGAAGTAGTATCATTAATCTCAAAGTGGCCATGTTTAAAGAAATAAATTTCTAATGAAACCACTCTTTTGAGCCTGTGTGAACTTCCTTCCTTTGCTGTCAGTGCAAGTTCTTGATGTTGACTCCAACACAGAAGGACCAGATGGGACAAGGAGCTCTGGTTGTAATTTTCAGCCATTTCTGACAGGTTGCCTTTGAAAGGGTGCTTAAAGCTGGGAGAATACAGAGGTAAGAACTGTGTGTAACATAGCACAGAGAAACTGAGAGAAACTTAGTACAGAGCCAGACTTAACTGGGTTAGATGTGGGAAAGTACTGATTCCTCTTGGACCTTTCTGAATGAAATGTGCCAAACTTGCAGCTATTTTCAAAATGACAACTAAGAGAAGTCTGATGATGCCTTTTGTGACACATTTCTAAAAAATGAACTTGGTTTAAAGAGCATCAACTGCATTTTTAGTTTTGCTACTTGTTACAGGAATATGTTAATATGTAATTTTAATGAAAATTAATAATAATATAACAAATAGGTATATGGAGTATTTCAACATAGTATTTATAAAGAGCCTGTGATTTTTAACGTTGTGTAAACTTGCTGTCCTTTGCTCTGACAGGACCCAGAAGAGCTTGTCAAAATGTAAAACGGGAGGAGTAGTTTTATTCCAAGCCACCCTTCCTAGAAAGGGGTCTCTCTACCAGACTAGTAGAAAGACTGCTTCTACTCCCACCTCTTCATGCATGTGGAAGTGTCTGTCATTGGACTTGAAATAAGAGAAATGCCTTTTCCATGCTGGCTAGGAGTGCCCTCCACAAATCCACACTGAACTTAAAACATTCCTGCAGCTTCAGCATTTCATGTGAGAGCCGAGAGCCCAGGCAAGGCAGGCAGAGGAGCGAGGGTCCCACAGCCCTTGGGAGCCCCTGGAGCCCAGAGCCCTGCTGGGGAAGGGGCCAGGCCCCCCAGCTGTTCCAGGCCACAGATCTGCTCCCAGCACTGTTCTGTACACAGGCACAAACCGGCCTCAGGCCATGGCCAAGGGGGCCCAGCCTCCATGAGTGGCCTCAGTTTGAGCACTTGAGGTGTTTTTCTGTGGGCAGTGGCACTGTGTGCAATTTCAAGGAAAAAGATACACATTAAGGTACAGTGTAAGATAAGTTATTTGATGGCAACTTAGTGATTTTCTGGCACAGATGACATTTCTTTTGCAGTAATTTTACATCACTGCTAAAGCTCATTTCTGGTGCCGGATACCCCAGTTCAGGTGAGCAATGTCTGGTGTGGATGATCCTCATGCTTTAGCCTGGTTTAACAGGTCAAGTGACATCTTGAATTTTACAGGTTTGTATTTAACTGGGCTGCCAGAGGACCTCAGTGTACCAGGGGACAGAGAGGCTGTTGAACAAGTCCCTTCCTGCTATCCTTGTGCTGAGGCATAAACGCCCCACTGGCTCCTGAGAACCACTGTTTGTTTGTTTGTTTGTTTAACCAGCATGCAGCTGAATCAACAGTGCAGGGCTGTTTCACAGCCACCCCTCCTGTTACTCCTGCTGCACAGCAAAGTAAGCAAACGAGCCCTGGAGGATCACTATAAGGAGGTAGTCACTATACTGATTTGTAGTCACTGTAACAGAATGGAAACTTCAATTTTTGTGGCTGCTATCACTTGTAGAGTACCACGAATCAAATATGGCATCTTTATTTTATCTGCTTTTAATTTTATATAGTGGCAATAGAGCATAAAATACAAAACTTAAAACCAAAGTTAACTTTTCACAAAGGTGTTTTAAAGGCACTTAAAAGAACTGAAGGACTGAGTGACCAATCAGTAGGACTGATGGCAGAGCACTTTGGAAGGAAGTTACATTGTGTACGTATTAACACCATTCAAGTTCCACACCAGAAAACAAAGCTTGTACAAAACCATGTACAACCTACATTCCAGTTATAAGCAGCAAAGCTTCCCCATCTCCAGTAACCTTGTCAGAGCCATTCAGCTGTCTTTATTTAAAAAGTGCTGCTTTTGTCTTTTCCTGGCAAACAGAAGCTCCCAGAGGCAGTTGTACTTGTCCCAGTAGCCGGGATCAGCTTAGAGCACCAAAAATACTCAAGCTCAGCATTTTCAATGCTCATCCATGGTCAGAGCAAACCAGGGTGCACCTCAGCCACAGCTCTTGGTTCCTGAACAGCTTTTTCACCCTGACTTGTACTTTCAGCTTGAGCCTTTCTACACCTGTGGAGAACATGAACTCAGGTGGTTGGTACAGGTGTGGCAGGAAACAGCTGCTGCATCAGAAGGGCTGCCCCTGAAGATGGGCCATGGGCAACAGCTTATCCCATCTCTTCCCTGCAAATGGGGCTACGAGGGCTTGTGCAAGCCCCAGCTGCCAGAAACGTACCCAGGGAGCCAAGCTGGGCAGAAGGTGTCCACGAGCATCTCCTAGAGCAGCACAGATGAGCTGCTTTTGGCAACTTGCACCCCACAGTACTTTGTTCCTTTGTTTTCTTACCTACAGCACTTTATGCCAACTAACACATACTCTTTGTTATTTTAATCTGTTGCTATTTACTGACTATTCCAAATTCCCTTGACTACCTTCTGACAGAGGCTCCCACAGCATGATTTTACCCTTTATAATGGCCACAGGATGATGCAAGCAGGTTTTACTCCCTTACCCTTGCAAGCTGAGGTGAAACAAACAAAAAACCCCGCACAAAAATGTACTACTATGTATAATTTAGAGATTTTTTTTTTTAATTTAGGACCTCTGCAGCAGGTTCAAGTTTTCACTTTGTGTCAGTAAAAAGCAGAGTGCCTCTAGGTTTTCTTTGGGATAAAAATTTGCTACAGTTAAGTTTAAAAGAAAGACTTCAACATGAAGATTTCAGTACAAAATTACACATTGTAGTGCAAATTATAGGTAGAGCTCACATAAAACTGGTATTAACTTAAGGATGTATCACCGTCATTATTAACATGTACACAAATTTTTAAGCTGGTCAGTTATGCACAAAAAATGTTGCATATATAACTTAGTGTTAATGGACTAAATCCATCACATAAATCTGAGTGGAAAGCCAAGCTTGAATACAAAATTAATACCTGAGTATAATGGTCCAATTTATTCCCCTTGATAAATCACCTACATACAAACATGTTTAGTGCCTCGTTTCTGCATTTCACTTTAGATCTTTCTGGGCTGTAAGAAAAGAGACCTCTCAGTACTAGTGCTATTTGCAACATAAAATATTTTATACAAAGCAGCTTAACAGTCTTTTGCAGAATGATCTTTAACACTAAGATTTTTCAATTAAAGTCTTCATCTTTCCTGTAGACTTCAGCATGTGTGGTCCAAACTGGAAAGAAAACCAGAAACATGTTCAGATTGCTTTCAACACACCCCTTATTGAACTATCTATCCATCCAAGCAGTAAAAGCAGAACTTGGGCAGAAATAATTTCCTTTATCACTTGCTCCTCTGCATGTGGATGTCACCAAGTAAGGGGATACTTGTGTTAGCAACAGCTGAAATTGCTCAGAGGAGGGAGCCCACGACCTGCTGGAGCAGGGCTGGAAGCAGTTTGCTCCAGCACAGTAAAATGAGATAGACTCCACTGTCCCTACACCTTGACAACCAACTGCTCCAGCAGCAGTTTAACAGTGCTTCTGCTCTTACTCCACCCTGTGTTTCTGTGCAAGTCCCTTGCAAAACTGTCATACAAGTCTGATCTAACAAAGTTAGATAC